GTGGTTAGGAGCACTAGCTGCTATTTTAGAGAACCCAGATTAATTCCTAGCACCCATATGACATCTCCTAGCTGTCTGTAGCTTCAGTCTTCTTTCTCGGAATATCTTTATTTGTTTTTGAAAATGTGTTGTACTTGGATGTTCCTTTGTTCTGTAGTTCATTGTGAAAGCTTTCTTCCTAAAATATTGAGTATATCAAGGCCTAGATAAGAATAGGTAATATTTGTTATCTGAGACATAGAAGAGAAGGGGGGGAGGGTGCAGAGAGAGACAGAGACAGTGAAACAGAATCTTACCTAAAGAGATAACTTATTTTCTAGAGATACAGGAAAATCTTATAAAAGTAATATTTTATTTCTGATTTCCCCAGGTGTTTCTCAGGCCTTGTTCCCATGTGGTATCTTGCCAACAGGTTGAAGTGGAGCCCCTCTCAGCAGATGACTGGGAGATACTGGTAAAGGAAAACTAAGTGCTCTCTTGCTGTAATGTTAAATGACATATAAGTATCAGTTGATAAATTTCACTAGGCTTCTTTATGTATTGTGAGTTAGTTCATATTTTAAGGATGGCTGGGTAGAGACATAATGTATAACATGGGACCACAGATGAGCTAACTGTTCTGTGTTTGGGATTTATTTATTTATTTATTTATTTATTTATTTATTTCAGTTTTTCCAGACAGGGTTTCTCTGTGTAGCCTTGGCTGTCCTGGAACTCACTGTGTAGACCAGGCTGGCCTCAGACTCAGAGATCCCCCTGCCTCTGCCTCCCAAATGCTGGGATTAAAGATGTGCATTACCACCACTGGGCATGTGGTAGTATGGAGGGGTGTGGGAATGTGGGGGAAATTAATTTTAAATAGACTTTAGCGTCTCTTTACACAGAAGCAAAACAACAATGGTTAGCTGAGATGTTGGATCTGCCCTGTGTGTCCCATGTCATCAGGTATACCTCAAATATAACAAGAAACTTGAAAATGAGCAAGAGTGGAGATTCCATACCAGGTATGGAAGGACCTGAGTGCCCGTGGTCTGACCTTGCTCTCTGTTGGTTCTAGGAGCTGCACGCCATTTCCCTTGAACAGCATCTTCTAGATCAGATTCGAATAGTTTTCCCTAAAGCCGTTGTTCCCATCTGGGTTGACCAGCAGACTTACATTTTTATGCAGATTGGTAGGTGATACTGTAAGATTTGCTGACATTCCATGCCCTAGAGTGCCAGGTTGGAAGCAGAGGTGAACATGTACTAATGGGCTCTGTTTTCTACCTAGTCGCTCTGTTGCCAGCTGCACCTTACGGAAGGCTAGAAACTAACACCCAACTCCTTATCCAGCCAAAGACACGCCAAACCAAAGAGAGCACATTTCCAAAAGAAGGAGACACACATGGACAAGTTCATAGTTATGGCCTAGAACAGAAAGGAATATCAAAAGAATTGCAAACCAAGCAGCTTTATAGGAACACAGAGGGTGTTCCTGGGTCTAATGGAAGAGACCCAGAAGTCCCAGGCGACTCGTTCAAGCCACGCTGGTGGGCTATGCTAGGAAGCATGTTTTCCTTTGGGCCCGACAACAAAGAGTCAGCCTGGGGCTCATTGGAACTTGGTGCTTTCAAAAACATGCAGTCACAGGCTGTCCCTCTAGACAGTATTTTCAGAGTATGCCAAGTTCAGCCTCCGAGTGTGCATAACACCCCTGCTACCTCCGTGTTTCGCAAACACTGCACCGTCCATGTATTTCCGTGGGACCAAGAATATTTTGGTGTGGAGCCCAGCTTCACTGTGATCTATGGAAAACTAGTTAAGCTACATTCTCCAAAACAACAGCAAGACAAAAGTAAGCAGAGTGTCCTGTTACCTGAAAAAGAGAAGCAACTATCGGAGTCTTCGGATCATAAGCAGATTGGCTCCGCCCACAGTGAGGAAGCCGCCGAGGCCTGCGTGCTGAAGGTAGTGTGGAACGGACTCGAGGAGCTGAAGAATTCCTCGGAGTTCACCAAAAGTCTAGAGCCTCTCCACCGCGGCAAAGTCTGGGTTAGTACGCGGGTTATAGTGGGGGAGACACCTGTGACTTGATCTTCCCCACTTTGGATTATAATAGCATATAAACTGCAGTGCAACAAGACGAGAGTTAGAGTCCCTACAAGTCTCCGTGTGGAGTGGGCAGTGTCTCCAGCCCCTCGTTAACCTTTCAGTGCTCACCAGTATTGGGGAGATGAGACTCTGGGGGACACTGGAGTTCGGAGTGATGTTTACGAGCACCGTTGCCTTTGCAGAGTACTCGGGTTCGATTCCCAGCACTCACACGGTGGCTCATAACCATCTGAGACTCCAGTCCCAGGGGAATCCCATATCCTTTTCTGGCTTCCGTTGGCACCAGGCATGCTTGTGAAGAACACACATGCATACAGGCAGAACACACATGTAAAATAAATCTAAGAAAACGTTTAAAGAATTTTTGACTCTCTTTATTGAGATGAAATTAAAGTGTACAATTTAATGTGTAAACAAGTTGTTTTTAGTATAATATCGTGTGATCATTGCCATAATCTCAGTTTAGAATTTTTTATTAATGCGGGTGTAAGTTTTACCCTTTACTTGTTGGAGTGAACTGTACCCATGGCAGATCATGATTACGTCTGACTACTCTAGCTTTCTCAGTGGTTCTCAACTTTCTCACACAAACACAAAGACGTCTTAAATGGTTATACCATTGCTAGTCTTCATGTTTATGTCTCCCCAAAACCAGTATATGAAATCCGCCCCACGAGGTGACTGCGTCAGGACGTGAGACCTTTGGGAGATGATTAGGTTACAAGGATGAAGGGTCCACTGCAACTGATGTCATCATGGGAGATGCCTGCTGACTCCTTCTCCTCTTCTACCCAGTGAGCATGCAGCAAGCGTGTCCTCACATGCATGTCTGTGAGAGAGCCTTGCCAGCACCAGCCTTAATGGTGCCAGTGCCTTAACAGTAGGCATCCCAGTTTATAAACCAGGATGAGCTTTCACTGTCTGTGAGGTGCCAGTCATATGGTATTTTGGTTGAAGTGGCCAAGCAGGCCAAAACAACTGTGGATCACTATGATACAATTATGTGATGACATCTATAATTTCACTTGCATTTAGAGAATTAATGTCAGTATTTAGGCTATGAAATACATTAACCAGTCTTTGAATGTGTTTATATTCTTTTTAAATTGCAGATACCAGATGACCTGAGAAAGAGACTAAATATAGAAATGCATGCAGTAGTCAGAATAACTCCACTGGAAACCACCCCTAAAATCCCAAGATCTCTGAAATTACAACCTAGAGAGAACTTAGTGAGTTCAAACCTATGGTGGATCAAAATTCTTTTATGGATGATACAGAATTTCTCATTGTTTGTTAATAATAATGTGATTCTTTTTTGTTACAAGTTGCATGACATGGCATTTTAACCATTCTCAGAGAACAGCTCAGCTGCATTAGCTGTGTTCATAGCATTGTGCGTTGTCCATTGCTGCCTTTTCCAAACCATTTCCCTCACTGCAGACAAACACTTAGCCGTTAGACAATGACGCCCTTCCCTTCCTCCCCGTCTCCTGACAACCCGCTCTATGTTCTGAGTTGATTTATTCCAGATACTGTGTAGACGTGCAGTTAGATAGGATTTGTCTTGTATGTCTGACTTACTTCATTTCCCATAATGTGTTCAAGGTCAGAACTTCATTCTGTCATCTAGTGGCTAATACTTCATTATAGAATTGTAAGTCCATCCAAATAGTGATGGACTTATGTGACTTCTTGTTGGCTTCTGTGAGTCATGCTGCAGGGAGTAGTGGAGTACAAGTGTCTGTTTGACTATTTTCTATCCTTTGGAATATGTGTGTATGTGTGTGT